AAAGTAAATGTTCTTCAATATTTGAAACCCATCGACCAAAGAAACAAATGATTTCTTGATGTTTGATCTTACAACTTACCTCAAAGTACCTGATCAATTGAGACGATTGATGACCCAAAGGACCAACATATATCTCTTGTCCTCCTCGTTTCATTAAAAATAGCTGCAAAATCACAATTATCTTAGTATTTCATGCAATGTAAAAGAACAGAAATTCCAGTGATCTGCCTAATTTATCAACATTTTTACCTCATCAAATGCTTCGAAAATATCAATACTGGGCTGATGAATGGTACACACAACAGTTCTTCCTGTGTTTACCGTATTCCTGACTGTTCTCATCACAATTGCAGCAGCTCTAGCATCAAGCCCTGAAGTTGGTTCATCCATGAATATTATCGAAGGGTTTGCTACCAGCTCGACTGCAATAGTTAACCTCTTGCGTTGCTCAGTCGAGAGACCATTGACACCTGGCAACCCAACTTGTGATCCTCTCAAGGGAGTAAGTTCCACAAGTTCCATAACCTCCTCAATAAACATCTGGAAATACATCAGGAAGTTTAGTTATTTTATTATTGCACATACAATAATACGGCAATAGTGGAAATGAAATTGAGAAGTTACTTACCTTTCTAGTTTCAGCATCAACTTCTTTAGGCAAACGCAACCAAGCTGAGTAAAGAAGGGACTCATAAACAGTAACATGAGGAGAATGGATGTCGTTCTGTTCACAGTATCCAGAAATCCGAGCAAATGTTTCCTGCTTCTTTGGATACCCTGAAATCGTGATATTTCCCTCAATATACCCACCCGTTTTTCGACCAGCCAACACGTCCATCAAAGTTGTTTTACCAGCCCCACTAACACCCATCAATGCTGTAAGAACACCAGGCCGGAAAGCTCCGCTTACACCCTTCAGGAGCACCAATTTATCATCAACATCACCCTGAGCTCTCATTTCCTGCAAGTCAGTTAAGAGATTATGTTGGAATCCAGATGCCAAAATTTGTGTGGCAAGAGATTATCTCGAGGCTTTACTTACTGGTGGCATGTCAACTGGGTATTGAACGTCGTCAAATGTAATAGAATGTGGTTCAAATGGAAGAATCATTCCTCTTTTCTTGTTCTGATTGGCCTCATTGGCATCTGCCCTCTCAGATGAGGCATCATCTTCACTTTCTTCTAGTATAGTAGCTTGAGGCTTCTCGAAAGCTGCAGAATTTCAAATGAAATTAGTTATGCGAAGGTAATTATATTTATGGAACTTATTTCAAGCACGGGAAATAGAGGCACTCACGATTGAGATATGTTAGAGAAAGAACAAAGAATAAGTTGAACAGAAATACGAATCCAAGCAATGCTCCTGCTCCAATCCAATACCAGTATGTTAGAATCCAGATTCTTCCAGTTCAGTTCAACTTACGGCAGTTAAATTCCAGCTGTAGTTAGTTCTGTTACTTAGTTAATTCAGTTTGTTAGTTGT